CAGTGCTTCAGAGTCTCTAAAGGAAAACCAAGTAAGTGGGAACATACTATGAAATTCCAAGTGCACTGGGATTGACAGAGCTTGGTCAGTATGTGGAGGGGAACAGGCACCACTTTGTAAACATCACACCACTTGGGATGAACTCCATGTCCATGTCCACATGAACCGCACCCCACTCGGGATAAGCTCCTCATCCATGTGAACCGCAACCCCACTCGGGATGAACTCCTCATCCACATGAACTGCATCCCACTCGGGATGAATTCCATATCCACGTGAACTGCATCCCACTCGGGATGAATTCCTCATCCACATGAACCACACCCCATTCAGGATGAGCTCCTCATCCACGTGAACCGCACCCAACTTGGGATGACCTCCTCATCAGTGAACTGCACCCCACCCTGGATGAGTTCCTCATCAGTGAACCGCACCCCACTCAGGATGAGCTCCCCATCCACGTGAACCGCACCCCACTTGGGATGAACTCATCAGTGAACTGCAACCCCACTTGGGATGAACTCCTCGTCCACATAAACTGCACCCCACTTGGGATGAACTCCTCATCCACGTGAACTGCACCCCACTCGGGATGAATTCCTCATCCACGTGAACTGCATCCCACTTGGGATGAGCTCCCCATCCACATGAACTGCACCCCACTCGGGATGAACTCATCGATGTGAACTGCACCCCACTCGGGATGAGCTCCTCATCCACGTGAATCGACCCCACTCGGGATGAACTCCTCATTCACGTGAACTGCACCCCACTCAGGATGGGCTCCCCATACACGTGAACCCCACCCTACTTGGGATGAGCTCCTCAGGCACCACGGAGGGTTGGTGGCCCACAGAGAAGCTACTAGGGAGGGCTGGTCAGCCACAGCAAGCAGGAGATAGGCTCTCACAGTAACAGCCCTTAAAAAACAGTTAAAGGAATCAAGTGAGGGCAGGAGATGGAAGAAAAAGAAGGAGGAAAGGAAGGAAAGTGGCAATGAGCATCATCCCATCAGTTGAGGCCTGGACAGGAAAGCCAAGGAGGAACGTGCCTTTGCTGGCTTCTTGCTGCCTATGCCAGGCACTGGTCTGTCCTGCCCCTGAAACCAATGCACCTTTCTGGCAACATACTTGAAGATTTCTCATTTTTACTCTCAGAGCGAAAATGGGGTAAAATTTGACATGGCACTCAATAAATAAACTAAATGGACATCTAATGAATTAGTGAAGGACACAGAATTATCTGCTAGATTCTATGTCAGATCTAGAGCTTCCTGTTATGGGTTAAGAGCACTACTCAGTAGGCATCCCTGTTCCTTGAAGACTGCCCCTGGCACCTCTGGACTCCACAACCTCCTCACTACAACTAGCAGGGATCCAGGCTGAACAGTAGACTGCTGAGGACCACATGATGGGAACCCACCACTGGGCCTAAGCCCAGGCAGGACACAAGACCACCCCCATACCATAGAGCTTTAAAACTGACCAGGACCAGTTCTACTATTTGCACCATCTGGATCTAAAAGTTGCCAAATGCAAAATCTGACAGATCCATCCAGTGAATCACACTCCACCACCACTGAACTTAAGATACAATCTGAATGACCCCAACAATCTCTGAACCCAAATGCATACGTCATCATGAAACATTACAAAATTCATGAACAATCAAGAAAATAACCCAAGTTGAAAAGCCAAAACACTGCAGGGAAAACCCCAGTGAAAGTGAAGAAGAAGAGATGGAGGACAAAAGGGACCATTAAAGCAATGAGAGAACTGGCTGACAAAAGGAAGGAAATGGGGAAACACTTAAACTATTTCCCCTGAAATCAGGAACAAGGCAAGGATGCCCACTCTCTCCACTCCTCTTGAATATAGTCCTGGAATTCCTAGACAGAGCAATAAGGCAAGAAAAGGACCTAAAAGGGATCCACATAGAGAAAGAAAAAATCAAATTACCTCTATTTGCAGACCACATGATCTTTATACCTAAAGGACCCAAAGTCTCTGTCCCCATGCTCCTAGAGCTGATCAACCACTTTGGCAAAGTATAAAGACACAAAATTAACCCACAAAAATCAGTAGCCTTAAAAAAAATCAGTAGCCTTTCTGTATGTCAATAATCAACTCCATTTGCAATAGCCTCAAAAAAAAAAACTAGGAAAAAAGCTAACCAACGATGCAAAAGATCTTTATAGTGAAAATTATAAAAATCTGAAGAAAAAATCAAAAGGACACCAGGAAATGGAAAGACCTTCCATGTTGATAGAATCAATACTGTGAAAATGGCCAAACTGCCAAAAATTATATACAAATTCAATGTTATCCGCATCAAAATCCCAATGACATTTTTCACCAAGACAAAAATAATCCAAAAATTCATGCAGGCCAACAAAAGACCTAGAATAGTCAAAGCAATTCTAGGAAAAAAAGTAATACCAGCTCTACTACAAAGCTATAATAATAGAAACAGCTTGGTATTGGCACAGAAATAGACCCAAAGATCAATAGGACATATAGAAGACCCAGAAGTAAACCCATACACTTACAGTTATCTGTATTTGATAAGGGATCCGAAGACACACAGAGTAAAAATAGCCTCTTCAATAGTTGGTGTTGGGAAAACTGGGCATCCATGTACAGAAAACTGAAAGTGGGAACCTTTTTGTCACCATGCAATAATGTCAACTCCATCAAAGACACCGGGACATGATAAATTATACAGGATTCTAGATACACACAGTGAGACCAAAAGAGAATGCTGTTGAGAAAAACACAAAAGTACAATACCAAAGTGGAACTTCATAAGTATATTTTATATACACACACACACACACACACACACACACACACACACACACACACACACACACACACACACACACACACACACACACACACACCAAAATGTAAAAACAAGATCTCTTGTTTTAATTTTTTTGTTGGTCCTGGGGCTTGAACTCTGGGCCTGGGCACTGTCCTTGTGCTCTTCAGCTCAAGGCAAGCTCACTATACCGCTTGAGCCACATCGCCACTTCCGTTTTTCTAGTGGTTTATTGGAGATAAGAGTCTCACGGACTTTTCTGCCCAGGCTGGCTTTGAACCGTGATCCTCAGATCTCAGCCTCCTGAGTAGCTAGGATTATAGGCATGAGCCACTGGCGCCTGGCTTTCATTTTTATTTTTTGATGATTCTGTCTTCTAAATGTATGTATATTCAGGTGTATATCTTTGGGAGGTGCAGGGGAGCATACAAAGCTCAAAGCCAAAGGATGAAAAAGTGAACAGTGGAGGGCACTGGACACTGATGAAAGTGAAATGTACCATTTGCGGGAGAGAGAGAGTGAGGGAACAAGACACTGTAGGAAAGGAAATGCACTCATTACTGACTCATGAAATTGTAATCCCTCTGTACCTTCTATAATAACAATAAAGTAAATTAACATAAAAAGAAAAAATATATATTAACACATATATTTAGTATAATCTATTACATATGGTATATAATAGATAAATATGCAATTTACTTTATGTGAAACAATCATTTCTTAACATGTATTTGAAGTAACTCAATTATGTTTTGCCAACTCTGATGAAAGCAATTGGACTTAAGAATAGTCTCACCTAACCACCTTGGTCCTACTGTTGTCAGTTTCTTTTATTTCTTTAATGAATAGTTCCATTGGATCACATGTGTATCTTTCCCACATACTTTATGAAGATCAGTTGAGGAGATCAGGCAAGGCCAAAGGAAACAATGATGAAGAGTTCAACATGCCTTTGTTCCTGAAGAAATCAGTGCGCACCATGCTAGGAGTTTATGCTGCGGTCAGACCCGGTGAGGTTGGCTGGGTCAGGCCTGGGCTCTGGTGTAGGGTTGTGTTTTGAGTTGTTTGGTAGGATACAATTGAACATGTTACTTCTCACCATGCCACTGCTCTTAGTCTATCTCAATAAGACTTTTATTTGGGCCTTCCAAGGAATCCTCTCCCTGTTGACCAGTGATGGCCAGTGATGGCCATAAAGAGATATGATGCCTGAACCAGCATACCCATCCTCTACCTCACAGGAAAGCACAGCTCAGGACCCAGCCACAGCAATAGTTCAGAATATTTGACAGTGATATCCTGCCGAGAGAAGCAGGGCTCCAGCACCTGCACAGCATCACCTCGGCACTGTCACCGGAAAGAACACACCCCTCAGCTCACGCCCTAAGGACGGCAAAGACAGACCAAGGCCTAAGAAGGGCTGGGGTGTGGGCAAAGACAGACCAAGGCCTAAGAAGGGCTGGGGTGTGATGGGCCTGGTGGGCAGCACCGTGGGACCCCTACTGATTCTGTCTCCTCAGCAGTAAGTCCAGGCCAGGCCAGCAACGGCGGGTCGCTCACGGCCTGGCATGCAACCACAGACTGCTAGACCTGCACAGACACTACCGGTAACACTCTCTGAGACTTACAGAAAATGTCGCCATTGATTTCTTCCCAATAAAGGCTTATTTCCTAATTTCCTCAATATTCAATAGCAACTGGTGTGTAATTTCAAATATAAAATGTCACCAGGATACAAACAGATTTGTAAAATGTGAAGCAAGGCCATATCTAACAGATACCACTCACACAAGCCAACTTACCTAGGGAGCTGGGGTTGAATGTCACCACAGTGTCCACGTCCACACCACACAGAAAACCTCCCACACCACTTACCACAGTACCCACCTCCACACCATAAAGACCACCTCAGAGGACACCACGGTGCCTGCATCCACCCACCTACCTGAGGACACCACAGTGCTTGCGTCCACACCACACAGACCACCTACCTGAAGACTATCACTGTGTCCACATCCACACCACACAGACCACCTCCCAGAGGACACCACGGTGCCCGTGTCCACACCACACAGACCACCTCCCAGAGGACACCACGGTGCCCGTGTCCACACCACACAGACCACCTCCCAGAGGACCACCACGGTGCCCGTGTCCACACCACACAGACCTACCTGAAGGGCTGCAGGGTTGAAGGCCACCGCGGTGACAGTTCCCGAGTGTCCTGGCAGCCGGTAGGAAAAGGTGCTTATGCCCATTTCATACATGTAAGCCTAGGAGACAAGAGGGCAGAGAGTAGGGCTGGCCAGTACATCCACCTGACAACCACAGGCAAAAGTGAGCTTTTTATCCAATCTTCCCCAACAGAGTGGGAAGACAAGTAGCAGCCCCTCCTGTGCTTCCATGAATCAGCCTACAACTCCAGGCAGAGCTGCATGTGTGGCTTTGCCTCTATGAATCAGCCTGCAACTCGAGGCAGAGCTGAATGCATGGCTTTGCTTCCTTGAATCAGCCTGCAACTCAAGGCAGAGATGCATGCATGGCTTTGCTTCAAAGCATCAGGCTGGAGCTGATCTTCCAGCATCAGCCTGGAAGATGTTTTCTAGAACTGACAGTTGAAAGCCTTCATAATGGAGTTCGTTCATGCCCCACATGAGTGAGTGTGTGCACATCAGACTCCCTTCACTTTGCCTCAGGACTCATCCTGATGTGACCTGAGGGATGAATTGGCCAGCACACAGCCAAACCTACCACACACTTTCTCCAGGTTTTCCAGTAATCCAAGTGCCACTGGCAGGAGGGAAAGCTCAGAGCGGGCTCCTGTGCTCAGGGAAGCCACCTCAACACCAAAGCATATCCTTCACACCTGACCTCAACACCAGACATCACACTTCACACTCAAACTCAACACCAAAGCACACCCTTCACACCTGACCTCAACACCAGAGATTATCCTTCACATGTGACCTCAACACCAGAGCACATCCTTCACACCTGACCTCAATACCAGAGATCACACCTCACACCCGAACTCAACACCAGAGCACACCATTGACACCCGACCTCAATACCAGAGATCACACTTCACTCCCGAACTAAACACCAGAGATCACACTTCACTCCCGAACTAAACACCAGAGATCACACTTCACTCCCGAACTAAACACCAGAGATCACACTTCACACCCAAACTAAACACCAGCACACACCCTTCACACCTGACTTCAACACCAGAGCACACCCTTCACACCTGACCTAAACACCAGAGCACACCTTTCACACTCAGACTCAAAACCAGAGCACACCCTTCACACCTCATCTCAACACAACATCACACTTCACACCCAAGCTCAACAACAGAGCACACCCATCACACCTGATCTCAACACCAGAGATCATCCTTCACACCTGACCTCAACACCAGAACACATCATTCACACCTGAACTCAACACAAGAACACACCCTTCACACCTGACCTCAACAACAGAACACACCCTTCACACCTGTTCTCAACACCAGAACACACCCTTCACACCTGACCTCAACACCAGAACACAGCCTTCACACCTGACCTCAATACCAGAGATCAACTTCACACCCGAACTCAACACCAGAACGCACCCTTCACACCTGCTCTCCACACCAGAGCACACCCTTCACACTCAAACTCAAAACCAGAACACACCCTTCACACCTGACGTCAACACCAGAGATCATCCTTCATACCTGACCTCAATACCAGAAATCATCCTTCACACCTAACCTCAACACCAGAGATCACACTTCACACCCGAACTCAACAGCAGAACACACCCTTCACACCTGACCTCAACACCAGAGATCACACTTCATACCTGAACTCAACACCAGAACACACCCTTCACACCTGACCTCAACACCAGAGATCACACTCCACACCTGACCTCAACACCAGAGATCACCCTTCAAACCTGAACTCAACACCAGAGATCACCCTTCACACCTGACTTCAACACCAGAGATCATCCTTCACACCTGACCTCAACACCAGGATCACACTTCATACCCGAACTCAACACCAGAACACACCCTTCACACCTAACCTCAACACCAGAGATCACACTCCACACCTGACCTCAATACCAGAGATCATCCTTCACACCTGACCTCAACACCAGGATCACACTTCATACCCGAACTCAACACCAGAGATCATCCTTCACAGCTGAACTCAACACCAGAGCACACCCTTCACACCTGACCTCAACACCAGAGCACACCCTTCACACCTGACCTCAACACCAGAGCACACCCTACCTCAACACCAGAGATCATCCTTCACACCTGACCTCAACACCAGAACACACCCTTCACACCTTACCTCAACACCAGAACACACCCTTCACACCTGACCTCAACACCAGAGCACACCCTTCACACCTGACCTCAACACCAGAGCACACCCTTCACACCTGACCTCAACACCAGAGCACACCCTTCACACCTGACCTCAACACCAGAGATCACACTTCACACCTGACCTCAACACCAGAGCATCCCCTCACACCTGACCTCAACACCAGAGATCACACTTCACACCTGACCTCAACACCAGAGCACACCCTTCACACCTGACCTCAACACCAGAGCACTCCCTTCACACCTGACCTCAACACCAGAGATCACCCTTCACACCTGACCTCAACACCAGAGCACACCCTTCACACCTGACCTCAACACCAGAGCACACCCTTCACACCTGACCTCAACACCAGAGCACACCCTTCACACCTGACCTCAACACCAGAGCACACCCTTCACAACTGACCTCAACACCAGAGATCACACTTCACACCTGACCTCAACACCAGAGATCAACCTTCACACCTGACCTCAACACCAGAACACAGCCTTCACACCTGACCTCAACACCAGAGCACACCCTTCACACCTGACCTCAACACCAGAGCACACCCTCACATCTGACCTTCTCAGTGACCTTAGTGAGCTGGAGAGGGGACACAGTCACCGGCATGACCATGTCACTCCAAGAGACACTGGTTCCCAAAGGCCAACTGGACCCCAGGCACAGGTATGATGTAACATTTGATGGACTGCTTATTATTATCTTGTAACTAAGATGGAGCAGGGCATGAAACACAATGTTCCCATGCAGTGCACACTCGTGTCTGTGAAGTATTTACCAATGGGTCAGAAAATGAGTCGTTGAACGATTTATCTATTTCACGTCACTAAGCATGTCAGAGCCTCTCATGTCCACCTGCTACCGATTCTAAAATACCCTTACTGTGTGAACACTGACCAACGGTGACGCATGAGCAGGATTCTTATCCTAGCACATGAAGGCTAAGAGTCTATGCGGGAGCTCATCTGGAATCCCCAAAAGCAAGGACTTGCAAGCACACGCACGTGTCTGTCCTCCGCGCCACAGGCCACAAACCGTCCGCAGGGACTGAAAGCCATGCCGCAGGGGAAGCCTCCATTTGGGCATCCTTCAAAGCAGCGCTCACACCTGCAAGGACACAAGAAGCACCCAGAGAGACAAACCAGAGGACAGAAATGAACGCGGAGCAGCAGGCTGAGCATGGCGGGGGCCAGTGAGGCCCTGCATGCCAGCAAGGCTCTGCCCCCGAGCTACATCCTGCTTAACACATGCGTGGGGATTGAGAGGTGCACTGTCAATAGCTGAAGAGAGCTCAGAAGACTAAGGGTCGTACTCATCAAGTGCAGTGCAGGGTCATTTTAATAACTGTGTGGCACTTTCCTTTGAAAAGTTGGAGACTCTCCAGCTCCTTTGGAGGGTAACCAGAGCCTTCAGTAGAGCAGTCTCTGAGCGTCAGGAGCACAGCCTGAGACAGGCGGGGCTGGGGTGGGGGACTGGGATCTTGTCCACTGGACCCGCTTACACTAAAGAGCAGAGCAAGCCTACTGCTGGCTGTACCCTTGTCCACCCCCCACACACCAATTGGAGTGTATTGTACACAATCTGTACATGCAGTGTCTGTCATCATGTAACTAGCAGAAGGTACATGCTGAAACAGGATTTCATGTTTGACATAAACACACAAACACATCCAGGACATACTGACTGATTTTAAGGTATCTCAAGAAATGCCCCTGATGGGGGAATCAGGAGTCTGTGGGGCTGGAAAAGCAGCCAGGGAGAAACACGGCCATCTGCTCCCAAGGGACCTGGGCCCAGGGCTGCTATGGGGCACATGTGATGTCCAGCAGGAATCCACCTCGTGGTGCTGAGGCCGTGAGGCCCTGACACCTCTCGGGAGCCTAACGCGGGCGACCAGCCCTCTGAGCACAAGCAGCCCCATCCCCTCATGCCAGCCACCAGCACCCCCACCGGCCCAAGTCCGTCTCCCCAGATGGTATGGATTCAGCCCAGCTCTGTGGCATGAGGGACACCGGTCAGGGTCCCTCCCGCAGAGCCGAGTGCAGCTGGCTCACCTCAGGGTCCGCAAGTCCCACAGTCTGATGGGGTCACCGATGGCCGTGGTCAGGAAAAGATTGTATGCCTGGGGCTGCTGCGTGGTAAATGACGAGCCCTGCAATCGTGGGGGAGGCTAGCTTAGCAGCACTGCACTGACCCTACCTGTAACTGCTGCAGCCAGGTGGGAAATCAACCCAAACTGTTTCTCATAGGCAACAATTTCAGTCAGATCCACCACACTGGCACTCAGCTCTGAGGTCGTATCAGGTCAAGATGCATATACGCCACCCCTATCTGAGAAGATGTTTCAGCCATGCGACCGTTAGCAATGCAACTCCACAGACCTTCCAGAACACCTGGGGCTGAGCTGGACCCCTCAGTGGCTGAGGCGTGCTTCCTCTGTACATAACACCCCTGGGAGCCAGAGGACTAGAAAGCTGTGAACAATAGCATGTACTGTTAAATAACAAGCCATACATGGTATAGCGCATGAAACATGCCCTTGCTAAACACTCGGAGTCCAAGTCTGAAGCCCCAGGACCCCTGAGCAGAGTCTATGGGGAGGGCCCCGCAGGCCACCTGAAGCAAAGGTCCTTCTGAAAGACCAGTGGTCACCGAACGCTCCTGTGTGGAAGTGAAATGATGTGGCTCCTACTGACGGACCTTTCTTCCAGGTCAAAATGGTCTAAACAAGGGTAGTGGTATGTGCCTACAGTATTAGCCTTTGACATCTGAGCCAGCCGGTACAGAGTCTGAAGCCAGCCTTGGCTACAAAGGGATAGAGGACGAGGCTCTGTTTCCAAAAACACGACCATCTCTGTACTTAGGTACCTCTCTCTCATGCTCCGTCTCATACAGGGAACCTAGCCCCCCCAAAGGATGACCTCCCCACCCCAAAATATGAGTGACATGGTAAAACAACTGGGAAGGAACCAGCGAGAGGGGGAAGGAACGGGCAGCAGGGTGAATAAGTTAGAAGTACTTTACACACATGTATGAAAAAAATGAGAACTCTAACAGCATTCTATTTGGGGAGAGGAAAATAAGAAAGTAATAGAAGAGGTTTTTTTTTTTTAATCCTAAAGCTCATTTTTTACACATATGAAAACATCACAATGAAACCTTTTGGTATAATTAATATACCCTAATAAAAACAACGAAAAGGAAAACAGAGTTAAAATACATTAAGACAAAATTTACAAAGGATATTCCTAAGAATTTATACTTCAATACACATTAAAAGCAACTCCTTGCTTATAAACAAGAACAGAGGCTTATTATGTAAGTTCAGAAGTAACAACCAGCTAGCACACACTGAGTCTGCACTCCTCCCTCTGCCAGACAGCACTCCAAAGCCCGCACCCGCTCTTCCTCCTCTTCACAAACCTAGAAACCTTGCAATACCTATTGCTAGGCAAGGGGCCAGGCCACTGTGGTACTTCTTCGCACACCCCAGGAGCTGGTCCCAAGTTAGAGCGGCCTGGTGACTTGTGACATAATATAATGATACACATTGAGATCATCTGCTAAACACTGCACCATGAGCTGGACACACACACAACACCAACAGAGACCCTGCTCACAGAAAGTCACCTCTCAGAAAGAGGCCTTCACCCTGCACAGCTAACAGACAGATAGGGGCTGAAGAAGACCAAAGAGCACAGGCATGATAAATGGGGCCAGGCCACTAAGGGGACACGTACATTTAACATTTGTGTCCATTTCAATAGGCAGTAAAGAAGAAATGTTATTTTTTTAAGTTTCAGTATAGTTTTATTTTTTATTATAAATGTATTTTTTATTGTGAAGATACTGTACAGAGGGGTTACAATTACATGGGCAAGATAATGAGCACATTTCTTACCAAGCATTGTAGCCTCCTCCTTTTCTCCCCTTTCCATCCCTTCCCAGCCTCCCCTCCCCCCACCAAAGTTGTAAACTTCGTTTTAGAAGAAATGTAGGAGAAAGGAAATATAAAATTTTAAAAGCCCAAAATAAGATCAAATGTATGAATGATGATAGTAATTGTAAGAGAAAGAAAATACACTCATATCAGAGTTCACAGAATACATTTAAATATCTATTTTAGAAGTTAAAAGTGAGACATGGAGGAAAAAACATCATATTCAAAACACAATGAGGCAAGATTCACAGCACTAGAAAATGAGGAGGGAGGAGGCAATAAAGCAAAGAAAACCTACCTGGAAATAGGTTTTAAGTGATAAAAGGAAGCATGGAATCCTGGACCCTAAAAACATGGCCTTCGGAAAATGCACAGAGCAAAAATGAATACACTGGGAAAGAGAAACTGACTGACTGCAAGCATGCTGGAAGATGTTAATACACGTCTCTCCATAACTAAAACATCAAGTATATTTTTAAAAATCAAGAATACTTGAACAATTCAAATACAGCTGACAGGTTGAGCCAACAGACACAAGAACACGCTCTTTTCATGCCTGTGCAGTATCTGTTTTTAAAACAAGCCAATAAACACAAGGCCCTAATATAGATCAAGAGCCAAAAATTAACTAGAATATGGAAATTTAACTTTTGACTTTAAAATGAAGTGATGCTTAGGTTGACGAAATGCCCTGATGACGAGGAGACCCTCAGTGCTGGGTGGAGACACTCCAGCAGTATTCAGAGAGAAATGCATTGTGGGAGAAACGTACCAAAACATATACAAGACAAACAAACAGTGGAGCTATCGGCAGGCATTACGAGAGTAGCACACTGAGCAGCCCGACACACGGGTCTGAGGATGGAGTGGTAAAGATCTGCCCCAAAGTTGGTAGCAATTATCAAAGAAGAATGAGTATGTGGGGAGGGGAGTAGAGTTTTATCTGTATCAATAATCACTTTATTTCTTTTCACAAAAATACTGAAAGATATAAAACTAATAAAGCAAAATATCAATGTGACTACTTCTGAAACCTAAAATCTCCAGTGTAACAAAATCATTTCAGTCAACTGGGCATTGTGGCTCACGCCTACAAACCTGCAATCCTGGCTATGCAGGAGGCTAAGACAAGGAGGTCATGGCTCATGCCCAGCTCAAGACAATAAAGCTTGAAAGATTCCATCTCATTCCATAAAAGTGAGGTGTGAGGGGCAGGCTTGTTATCCCAGATATACAGGAAGTACAAACAGGCATATTGAAGTCCCAGCAGGCTCGGGCAAAAATGTAAGACTCCATTCAAAGCAAGGGTGAAAAGGAGCTAGGATGTGACTCAAATGGTACAGTGGCTGCCCAGCAAGGGCACGGTCCTGAATGCAAACCCCAGCACTGCCCAAAAGAAAGGAGTTCATTAAAAAGTCTTCCATTGTTTTTCTTTCTTTCTTTCTTTCTTTTTTTTGTTTTTCAATTTAAATTGTCTATCCAGGACTAAATATTTACATCACCAAAAAGGCAAATCTCTTCTCTGGAGAGAGAACTTATCAAGTCTTAAAAATCACCTATTATCTACTTTAAAAATGTCAACTAAACAAAAAATCCTCTTGTTTTCCATATTAAAATGAGTTATTTTATGATATAATATGAACACACAGGATAACACTGTAGGAAAATACAGCCATTTCTGACATACAGGGCACTCTTGCTAACATGGTGCCGAGTGAAGTCAGCAATCCTGTTTGTCTAACCATCAAGACAGGAGTGATCTTGGGGAGTCTCACTAACCATGGTGTGCTCTGCTGGCACTCACAGACAGCTGAGCTCACAGGAGACCCTGCTTCATACTTTACCAGAACTCTGACATTTGGGTCAATTACGAAGGAGCTGAGCTATGCCTGTATTTGGACTCCCAGAATGGCAGTTCGTGAGGAGCAGCGCCCACATGCTGTGGTTGTCTGACCACTCTGATATGTACTGTGTAAATGCACAAAAATGTGAGGAGTCTTAGAAAACAGGCCATTAAGGGGGTGGGAAGCCACCTCCACCTCGTCCTGTTCCCTCACATTCCAACACACACCCGTCACATGTTTATTTTCAGGAAACAAAACCAGTTATTTCCCATAAAATCCCCAGAACTATTTTCACTAATGCAACACCTCTGTCCAAGGGCACACCATGAAGGCTGATGGCCCGGAGCGCGGCCAGGCGGCCGGCCGATGCGGCCGACGTGTCGGCAAGCTGTGCAGGGACCACAGGGGTAGCAGAGTCAAGGACAGGACACCCACACTGGAGGAGACAAAGGGGAAGGCACACTCCTTGACCTGCCCAGGGAGGGAGCAGGCCAAGGCCTGCACCAGCCGGGCTAGCTCCCCAAGCCTTCCATAGAAAGGGAACCAGCAGACACTCCTAAGTGCCCTCTGGACTTCCATCCAGGACGAGGTTCTTCCTGCCCAGCTCTGCTGTGAGGGAGCAGCCTGTCCTGGCTCTGGCGACCCTCTGAAGAGGATTCAGTCAGGAGTTTATAGCACCCCCCATTCCTCCCTCCCCCGCCTCCCAGGCCAGGGACGGCCTCAGGTCACCAGCCACAGTTCGTGCCAGGTCTTCCTGCTTCTCTGCCTGAGGTCTGATGCCAAAACCTCAGCCACACCACCAGGGCTGGCAGAACAAGGAGTAGGCATTGATTCCGAACAGCTCTTACAACAAGTGTTAGCAATGGGAGGGCAAGGGTCACAGCCAGGAACACTGACAACAGAGGCCACCGGAGTCTCCAGGCCGTGGGCTCAGGTGAGCAGGAAGCAGGGCACACTTCACAGGACACGGTGAAGAGTCTTCTCAGGAAAAATTCACCAGCCTTCATATTTGGAAAGCAATAGCTTCCATGTAATGAACTTAGCACATGTTAAGACACTTCCAAGTGTTACCTTGTCTAGTCCTCTGAGAGAGAAAAGCATTACATGTAAAAAGCTGAGTCCTTTCCCACAATGGAAACAGGCTGTGTGTGAAGGCTACGCCTGGAATCTTAGCTTCTCTGAAGGCAGAGCCAGCCCAGGGGGAAGGCCACAGAGACCCCATTTTTTCAACCAGTGAAGATGGTGGCATATATCTGTCATCTAGCTTTGTGGAAGATATAAATACGAGGCCTATAGTGCACTCAGCCCAGGCAAAAAACCCAAGACTCTGCTCAAACTGATGAAGGACATAGGGGCTAGGTGTATGGCTCAAACGGTAGAGAAGCCCTGAGTTCAAACTCCAATATAAAACATACATGCATGTGTGCGCGCGCGCGCACACACACACACACACACACACACAAAAGAAGATAGAAAAGGCACATGATGACAGTAACTAGCATTATCACACCATTTCCAAAAACAGATTCTCTTCAAAAATATAAGAAAAGTTGGTGGGAAAAGCTTAGAAGAATTGTCTTTACCACACTATACAGTCTTTACCACACTATAAAGCTATGGTTTTACTTTTTAGGTTATGGGTAAAAGCATTTAAGATTCCAAAATTCTATTTTGCATTTGTAACCTAAACATCTGCAACAATTTAAACTTTTGGATCAAATAAAAAGAAAGTAAATCTGAGTTGGCTCTCATCTACCAAGCTTCAATCTAGAAAAACTTTCAGGAACTGTCAAAAGCCTCAGGAAAATGTAAAAAATATAGCAAACAGAAGAAGAAAGTGGAAATATAATGGAAATACTGACAGACCACTTTCCAAATGTTCATTTTTACAATTTTGTGATTGGCTTTAATAAAAGTCATAAATTCAAAGGTTAAATGAGCAAAGATATCATTTTCTTAATAATTCACAAAATGCATAGGAATCAGCCGGGTGCTGGTGGTTCACACCTGTAATCCTAGCTACTTGGGAGGCTGAGATCTGAGGATCATGGGTCAAAGCCAGCCTAGGCAGGAAAGACCATGAGACTCTAATCTCAATTAACCACCAGAAAACCAGAAGTGGTACTGTGGCTCACGTGGAAGAGGGCTTGTTTTGCGCTGAAGAGCTGAGGGACAGTGCCCTGGCCCAGAGTTCAAGCCCACGACCAACAAGGGAAGAAAATGCATAAGAAACAAGAGGCAGCAAATTCCCAATGCACAGCATGACATACGTTTTAAGTATAACAGCTATAACACTAAGGACCATCATACATCAGATTTATTCACCTCCTGGTCAAAAACATTTAACTCAAAAAGTAAAATATTTGGTCAATTTAGTTAATTCTCACTTAACTGTATTATCTAAGGACTGACAGAAGCAAGAAAAATGAATCAAATATGCAACGACATGAAATTTCCAGGCAGATATGTAAACGTTAGCAACATTTACTTTGAAGTAAATTTTTGCATACTGAAATTTGAGGATACAAGAAGCCAGCCTTACTAATGAATTTATTCACATGGTTTTGGCCATTCAAAAAGTAAATAAAGTACAAGATGAAAATCTTACATTCCCAAGTGTACTGTACAACTCAGCGGATATGGAAAATTCAGTCAGTCCCGTGCTTAAATTAAGCACAATTGTGCTTAAACCTTTGTGTGATCTGCTGAAAGTATACACAAAAGTATACATACTTTGTGAAGGTATGTACCCCCAAAAGCTTGTGGTGCCTAGCAAGCAAGGTACACCTGATTGTAATCCTCCCAACCTCTACACGCATGGAATGTGCTTAATCTCAGTGGTAAAGTAAACATTTTAGGTTGTTGGAAGTCAGCATGCCTGTAGCACAAATTGGGTGACATGGGGGAAATGAACCCAAACCCACAGTCCAGTACTAAAGTATTGAACTCTGTGAACGCTGGACATTCATGACAGAATTCCGGGAGCCATGTCACCATGGATACAGAGGTCTATTGTAATACATTAAAATGTGTTCAATGTTCTCTAGATGATATTAGCTTCTAATATCCATGTGCCATCTAGTACTTAAAAAGCAACTCCTCCCTAGATTCCTTTCTCTCCTCTTTCTCTTCCTCCATCATTTATCCTCAGGCCTCACAGCTGAGCACATAACCCACAGAGCTGTCTTCATTCCACATTCTATGACTGAACCCTTAGCTGTGGTTCCAATGAACAAATACAGGTTTAGTCAATCCCTGGTTCCAAGCACAGGACAGATGCCAGGATGGTCAAGACCACAAATTGTGGTCACATACCTTAGAGATGAGCGCATGAGCGCGGCCATGTCACTAAACAGATCAGACCCACAGCTTGACTCTGCATCAAGAGAGCAACCCACAGCTTGACTCTGCATCAAGAGAGCAACTACCCACAGCTCGACTCTGCATCAAGAGCAAATACCCACAGCTCGACTCTGCATTGAGAGCAACTGCCCTCAGCTCGACTCTGCATCAAGAGAGCAACTACCCACAGCTCGACTCTGCATCGAGAGCAACTGCCCTCAGCTCGACTCTGTGCATCAAGAGAGCGGCTGCCAATGTCTTTTGAGTTGCACTTGAAAGAAAATAATGTCTACAAAATAAGATGGAATTAGACTGACGACTATTTAAAAAGTTAGCAATTCATTTGTGGGACCCATTTGCAAGCCCAGAAATACACGAAGTCTAAACCCGTCATAACCTGAAGTCGATGCCCTGCTGAGCAGCAGCCCAAGGCTGCCAGAAAGCTGCCAGGCCGACTCCTCTTCCTCACTGCTCTCCCTGGGAGGCACAAAACCAAGACTACATAGAGCACAGACCGCAGCAGCATGTGCCTTGCTTGTGATACCTGCTATTTGAAGCCCCATAAAGAAGTTACAAAATTCTTCAAAGGGAGGCCTGCATTCATCTGGTGACCTACTGCAAAGTGCTTAAAAATATGCTTATTCTGTTTTTATTCAGTAAGATTCTGCACAAATAAAGGAAGATGCAGAAAAGGAATAATCTTTTCCTTACAACACTATGTAGATATTTACCATGGTGTTATTCAGCCAGAAAAGTGTCTCCTATTGTGACTGGAACATTCTGGTAACAAATGCCAGGGCCAAAACTAGGGAACTGTCGGGATAAGAAGCCAGTCTGGGTCCTGAAAGGCTATGGGTGCCTGCAGGCCAACCACCCCACACACTGCCACCTCTGGGTTTGTGGCCACCTTAACTGATCCCACAGGCCTGTCCCCAGGGAATGAGCCTCTGACTCCATAGCCTCACCCACAGCACCCCTAAACAGTCTTCCTCTGGCCCAACACCACACCAGCTTCCCCTCCCTAGGAAAGGGGCCTCATGGAGTCTGTCTCTGGGCTGTGGTTCAACACCCATAGTTTGCTCTCCCAAGGCAAGCTGCTCATGCGATGTCACAGACCACAGCTGCTCTGTAAAGCAGAAACCACCACCCACTGGGGCTGGAACTAGGTTAGAGTGTGGACAATGAAGTCTCCTAGCCAGTTGTCATTGAACACAGTGATACCTCAGGTCCTCACTCTGAATTCAGAAGACATCACGAGTCAAACTCTTAAAGTAACAAGCCTTATAAACAACCATTACAGCTTGAAGCAGGTGTGGTGGTGTACACCTATAACCCCAAACCTACGGAGGCTGAGGCAGGAGGATTAAGGCTTCCAGGCCAGTCTAAGTTATACAGCAAGATCCTGCCTAGAGCAAACAAACAACATCATAGTTGGTGAGAACAACTGAAGGAGGTACAGTTGACCATTACATGTATGTATGGGGCATATTAAATATGTGTGCAGGGCAGTACATGTGTGTGGGGGTATATGTGTACAGGGAGGGCATTACATGTGTGTATGGAGGCAATGCATGTGTGTGCAGCATATTACATGTGTGTCTGGGGGCATTACATGGGTATATCGGTTATATTACATGTTAGAGTAAATTTCATGTGCATATGGAGTATATCACATACATGAATGGAATACATCTGTAAGCAGCGCATTCCATTTGCGTATAGGGTAAATCATGTGTACATGGAATACATTACATGTGTATGGGGCATGTTGCATGTGTGTTGAGTATACTGTATAGGTGTGAAGTGCATTACATGTGTGTAGAGTACATTATATGTGTATATAGAGGACATTATATGTGTGCATACAGGACCTTATATGCATGTGTGGAAATACCACAGTGAAACTCTTGCACAATTAATACACACTAATAAAGCTTTAGTAACCAAAAGCACCTTTGTTCGCAAGTCTTTGATGTTCCCTCAGATAACAGAACACTGTGAGGACTGAAGAGAGTCTGTGAGGGCCTTCTAGCCGCACCCACTGGCATCCTCAATCACGTCTGCCAAAGCCATCAGCCGTATTCCTGGGACCCTCAGGAGAAACTGCTGACCTAGCCTCTGCCTCACACAGTGCATCTGTGTGGCACCTGCCCAGGTGGCATGAGCTGTGTGGCACAGCTCCCCCTCCATAGAATTTTGAGTGAGAAGACACCACTAGGACAGACTGGAAGTTGGCCCATGGTGGGAATCTCCCTGTTACCCCGTGACCCTCTGACCACCCTTCCTGGGAACCCCTCTTGAGACTCTCCCCCCCCAACCCCGATCGTACCCTTGTCCTTGAGTTCAGCCCTGACCTTGTCTGGAAGTACGCCGCCTGCCACAGCTGCAGGGACATTATTCAACCTGCTACAGCCACAGAGACACTGCAAATGAATGGATAAAACCCTTCCTTTCCCCTGCCCTGCCCCACTCCTTGTCTCTCAGGCCCTGCTGGGTGTTCCATGATGAAAGCCTGGCCTGGCCTGGCCTGGCCTGGCCTGCTGAGGTCTCTGCCTTCTTTCTCTTCTTTGATCCATTTGATCTATCCTAACACTGGTGACTCAGTTTCCCAACAGCCCACAAGATCATCAAAGATCAAAGTACAAAACTTTACATGTACTAATATTAATTCATGCAGCCAAACATCAAGGTTTAAGGGTAGTTTAAAGGACAATAAAAGTTAACATTGAATTTGATAGCAATTATAAAATTGTATCATAATGTATTTGTCACCGTTAAAACACGTTAAGCTCAAAATTTAACAATTAATACACAGACTGCAAACTTACTTTGTTTTGACAAATTTGGTAGACGGGCCGGGAGTGAACTTCTGTGATCACTGCAGCACTGCAGCCCACGTTGAGGTCAAAAACTTCCAAAGTTCTGTCTCTGCCGGCTGCCAGGACCAAGTCTGTAGCAATCCAGTTAGGGCTCTGCTCACAGGACACACTGTCTGCTTTACTCATACAGCTCACGGGACATTTTGAGACCCAGGAAGGATTTCTGATATTCCACAAAAAAGGGCCTGCCCAGCACATGGCAAGAGAGGGTAGGCTGTGGGAAGAGGGGAGGTGGTGGTGCAGGAGGGCGGGCAGGGAGGCTGCGGGAGACGAGTGAAGACAGTGAAGGGTATGTTAAGGCAGCCACTTAGGAGCTCGACTCTCACATCTATGGACTGTGAGTGACCCATGAAATACTCAGACAGACATCCACCGTTGGGTGATCAGCCAGCCTGAGTTGAGATCAGCCAACTGCCAAGGTGAGTACATAGGTCTGTCATGAGAGACACCATTAGGAAAATTTTATTAACAACAACTGCTAGGACTTCTGCCAGTCCTCCACAGAGATGGAGTAACTGTTCACATCACTCGGGGGAGCCCACAGCATGTGTGGTGATCTATGAAGGAAATGTCCTGCCGGGCACCAGTGGCTCACCTCTGTCATCCTACCTACTCGGGAAGCTGAGATCTGAGGATCATGGTTCAAAGCCAGCCCGGACAGAAAAGTCCGTGAGACTCTGATCTCCAATAAAAACAAAACAAAAAAAACACTAGAAAACTAAAAGTGGCACTGTGGCTCAAGAGGTAGAGCGCTTGCCTTGAGTTGAAGAGCACAGGGACAGTGTCCAGACCCAGAGTTCAAGCCCCATGACCTACCCCAAAAAAAAGGAAAGAAAGAAAGACAAAGAGAGAGAGAAAGAGAGAGAAAGAAAAAGAAAATGCCCTATATTCCTAGGCACTGTTCAGTGAAGTACAGCCCCAAAATGTCTGTAAGCCCACCCTGCTGTGTGTCCTAACAAGCCCTTAGGGTCTCACTGCTGCAAGTATGTCAGGTGCAGTTGCTGTAATGAGTGCTGTGGAAAAGCTGATCTGTGACTCCTGACACCAGAACAGTCATGGTGACTGGAGCTTCCGGGCCCTGGCACCAGGAAACGGCCAAGTGTGTGACACAGTGGAGACCAGAGAAAGGATACAGGAGTAGAAGTCATTCACTGCTGACAAGCTGGTCACATCTGCCGAGCCTGCCGTGGAGCAGCAATGCACGGCCTGGCACCAGCTCTTTGGCTTATACCTGGAAGGAAAAAAGTGAAGGCAGTCAGTCTCACTGCTTCTGACTACAGCCAAACATCCCACCTCGTATAAGAAAACAAAAATGCAAGTAAAGGCTTCACGCCACTTAACAAGTTCTATTTTGTAACACTGCACTAGTAGGTAACCGACCCGTCATAAAAGACCTGTTCTCATTCACATCTCGGTCCTATTTCTAAAGGGTAGCCTAGGTAGTAAGTGTGTTTAGTAAGCATCTACATGGTCTTAGCCCCTAGAAGTAATTTCCTAACGGAGAGTCACCAGACCGCAGTAGAGTAAGATGTACCTCCCAGCAGACGCAGAGGCAGCAATCACGGCAAAGAGGCAGATGTGCGCAGGGCGGCCGCTGGGGAGGAAGGAGTACTCAGCTCTGCCCATGGGGTAGGGACACGTGCATGTTGCTAACCCTTAGATCAGAACTCAGCAGATGGAAGGAAAGCAGAGGGAGGGCAACCTGCCTTTTCATCTCATCTCTGTGAGGATCGAGGTGAACCTTCAGGAGCCGGAGCTCAGGGCCAGACGCTAACAGCATGAACGTGTCCATGTAGTAAAACTGCGCAGACTGGACTGGCTTGGGAAATGTGTCTCTGCCCTGGAAAAAGATAGGCCATTGATGCCCTGCAACAAGCCTGCTAACCGAGGTTCCCACCTGTCCCAGGTGGAAAACCCTTTGTCAGAGCTGATGGAGTTGAAAGAACCTGCATGGTTACACTCAGCTGTAATCAGCGTTTCAAATCCTGCCACCTACAAACACCAGTGTGAGCAGAAAGCCGAAGTAAGTAACATATGAAAGGGCATGGGTTTTTATTAGGCCTGAAATTCAAAGCGTGCTTTGACACACAGGTCTGGTGTCTGTGGTCACCTCTGCCTGCAGTGCATGCGAGCACAGACACATGAGAGTCCGTGAGCACTGTCCCCCACTCTGAAGCAGTCACCTCCCCAGGCCTTCCTAGCCTCCTGGTGAAGGCTGGACGGGACCTGAGGAGGTACCCCCAGGAGAGCGTAGCCACAGCTCAAGACCAATGAACGCCAGCCTGAGGCTACCACCCACCCCAGAGCCAACTGCACCCCAGTACCAAGAGCAGCACAAGCTCCGCCCTGCGGGTCGACCACACCCTCAAGGTCCGGTCCTGGGCTGTGGAGAGTAGCCACCTCCCGTCCTGGCTCCAGCAGACCCTGTTCACGGCTCCATCGTGACCTGAGGACAGAGGCAAGAGGGAAAGTCCAGGGCGCTGCCTGGAGTACTCTCCCAGGACATACACACTGCCCGCGCAAAGGTAAGGCCAGCATCACCCACCCACACTGTCCAGGAGACAAGTCATCTGAAACTATCTATCCGGGAGTCACGGTAACACAGTTTCTCAGGAAGAGTTTTCTGAACCCTCCTATTCTTAAATGATAGCGTTCAAAACCAAACCCCATACACACCGGTGGCTATGAGCGTTTAAGAGAGCGCTATAAAAATACTGTGATGTAAGAGTGCAGACATGCGTGGACTTTGCAACAATTATTATTTAACTTAGTAGGGGAGAAAATGCCAAAATGGTTCACTGTGTGTGCACAGAATCTGGCCACTGTGGTGCGCACTGCAGAGTGTCGTGCTGAGGTGTGAGGGGCCGCTTGGAGCCCAGCTCCTGCCGAGGCAGCAGCCTGCTGCAGGACCCCGGCTGGCGGAGACGCGCAGTCGGCAGACTCCAGTGTGCCAAGGCTTTGTGGTCCTGCCTCACTCTTCGTGCGTGCCGTCTGGCTGGCTGGGGGCCCGCTCCTCAGGGTTCCTGCCCTGACCGGACTGACTCTTCAAGGCCTCTCAGAAGGGGCTCAGGCAGGAAGTCACCTGAGTCACTTCTGGCGTCTGCCGCCTGACTGCCTGAAGCAGAGACATGGAGAGGCCCGGAGCACAGACTGCTGAGAGGAGTCTGTGAGCTGGGCCTGTGGCAGAGCCAGGAGGGAGCTGGGTGGTAAGCAGGCGTGAAGCTGCTCGATGCCAGCCATGGGGTGAGGGTGGGGAAGACGGACAGTGACTCGCAGGACAAGCACATCCCCCTTCGTGCACCTGTACTGAAAATACACTGCAGGGAGCCAGCAGACTTCAGGTGAGCCCCAGACACAAGTTACACTCAGTGACTTAAACAGTAGACACCGAATTGGTGACCCCTTATTGTACTGGTCAGAGTACCAACAAAATAAAAATGGAAAAACCTGAGAGCTAAAATTTGCTGAGCAGAAAAGGATATGAAATAGCTTTGCTGCCCCCTTGTGACACAAGTATTAAGACATACTCATCAACACACTCTCATCAACACAGGGCTGCCTACCAGTCCAAAGCCAGGCTGGCTGGGAGCAGAGTGCGCTGCTGGCCGGAGGCCAGGGTCAGGGCCCCAGGGAGCAGTCCAGGCCCAGACCGGTGCACTGCCCGGGTGTCTCACCTCCACATGACCTTCCCACCACCCCCGTGCAGCTCCCCTCCCTCCAACGCCAAAAAATGGTGCTCAGAGCTACGTCCACCCCAGTCACAGGTGCCCGGCCGGCTGGCACCACGAGAGAGGAGGGAGGGAGGTTGTGGCAGAGAGTGAACCACCTGAGTCTGAAGCAGGCTCTGGCCACCCACCCGCGGTTGAGGCATCGCGACCCTCTGGCAACAGACTCAATTCGGAGGGCTAGCGCAGGTTCTGTCAAGGGAGGACGGGAGGCCTCCCCTCCTGGGCCTGCAATGCTGGGGCCTCCAGGAAGAATGCTCATTCACAGTTGTCTCAGTGACTGGGACTGTGATCAAACACAAGCACCCGCTGGTCCACTCTAGCGAGGTGCTGTGACACCAATCACATTTCCAAACTTGAGCTCCATGGCTATCAAACAGGGGAACACACAAGTGAGGGGACATCAAGGCAACAAGGTAGACTCTCCAAACAACAGAGAAAGTACCTTAAAGACAAGTCTAAGCACCTACTCTGCTCCTTGATTCAGCGGGCAGACCTTTCCCAATAAGATGTGTGCACAAGGCCACTTGGGGAACGGATCAGCAGCAGAGAGCCTCCTGCCTGCGGGGTGCCTGCATAAGCACTGAGGAGCCAGAGGTCAGAGGCCAGGGAGGTAAGGAAGAAAGGGCCTCAGTCGGAACTGAGGTGCTCCTGGTGACCGGGGAAGGCAGCACGCTGCCACACACCATCTCGGGAGAGACCACAACTCCTCTGACAGCAGGGGAGCAGGAAGCCAGGCCCTGCCTAGCAGGGGCCACCCGGACACTACCGGGAGCCTGAGACAGACCCCCAGCTCAGGCTGAGCCCAAACCCAGACACACATGGGCATCTGAGCAGCAGCCTCCCCGCCCCGACACCTTCCTAGTAACCCCGCTCCCAGTGTCACTCCCCCAACCCTCATGCTGGCCAGGCCCAATGTATAAAACAGATGACCTACAAAATGGCCTTTCTTTTTATGTTGGGTAAATTATCTATAAGCATAAGCACTATCTGAACCTAATGGGGCACTGTAATATTTTGAGCTTAGAACTGAGAATCCCAAGTGTTAGAGTTAAAAGCAAGGTGTAGTAATTTAACATTGCTGCTCACAATCTCAACTCTACCTTCTTAAGAAAAAAAGATTCAGCTGGGCACCGGGGGCTCACACCTGTCACCCTAGCTACTCAGGAGGCTGAGATCTGAGGATTACGGTTTAAAGCCAGCCCAGGCAGGAAAGTCCAGGAGACAGTTATCTCCAATAAACCACCAGAAAACTGGAAGTGGTGCTGTGGTTCAAGTGGTAGAACGCTCACCTTGAGCTGAAGAGCTGAGGGACAGCGCTCAGACCCCGAGTTTAAGCCCCATCACCAATCAAAAAAAAAAAAGATTCATCTTGTTGCATTTATAAACATGTCTGTTACCAACTCTACTTATTTCAAAATAATTTTCAATTACATCTTTTGTTTAAGTTAGTTAAACATATCCCAGCTCTTTAAGATTTGGCTGCCTTTTGTCTCACAGAGAGCATGCATCTGCGGGCATGGGTGCTCTGCGTGGGCCTGGGCCTGGTGATATCTGGTTTATTCTTTCATCATTCCCCATCTCTCCCACCCAAGCCTCAGCCAAACCGTGTGTGGAGTGCAAGCAGACCAGAGTGCAATCATCAGCTGACACAATGACCAACAAAGCCATCCTTAAGATCAAGATACATTTTACCTGACAGAGCAGCTGGGGTTCCTGTAAGACTGGCGTCAAAGAGCAGGGAAAGATGATTGGCTAAGGCACAGGCCAACTGCTGTCCGTCTCCTGTTTGAAAAAATGAGCGCTTCCTGTGAAGTCCTTAGACATGGAAGGCCCGCGGGCAAGGCAACAGACAAACGGCAGTGCTTTTAGGAAGCCTGATGTTCATTTTCTTCGGCAGTGAAAAGCTAGAACCCGTGAGTAGCAGGACTCACAGACCCACCCTCCTGCGTGGCAGGGCCCTAGGGTGGTGCCCCTGAGAGAGATACGGGACCACCCCCCACGTGGGGGGGGGCTGCCACCCTTTGCTCACAGAATGGAGCTGAGCCGCCCACTCAGCTGTGGGTCTGGGAATCCAGGAACTCTCTAGGCAGGATACCCCAAACACTTATCTCAGGCCTGATTCACATCCACAGGCCAGCTAAGAGATACTTAGCTATGCACTTGTGTTGAAACATCTCACCAAACCAGCCTAAAAATGAATTCCAGGCTTCATCCACAATGCTCAGTGATGCTTGAAGAGATACAGCCACCCAAGAAATGTCCTAATCTATACAATTCTCAGCAACAAGTTTTTAATTTTTTGGTAAAATTACATGAAAAACAGAGGGGATTCTAGCAGCACTGGCCCTCTGGCCAGTCACTGAGCAAACTCTGGACTTGGCAAAGGTACGAACTGATGGTGTGGTTCCGGGGAGCACTGTAGTAGGCCTGTGCTGGAGAGAGGCATGGCGCACCTGTCAGCAGATCCCACTTCAAGGACAGGGCCCAGGTCTGGGCTGCCTTCACGAAGCTGCAGGCACCCCCACCCTGCCCTCACTCCTTCAAGCATTAAGAAAAAATACTGTAGTTCCACTGAAGAGGATACACACCTGAAAGAGCAGCCACCAAGGACGGCCCGGGACCAGGGACGGCCTGGGACCAGGGAGGGCTGAAGTAAAGAGCTGATGGGCCACATCGAGGCCCCCCTCCAGGGTCCGGAGGGAATGGGATGAGTCTGTGAGCCGGGCAGGCAAAGCCCTCTGGCGGGCTCCCCTGTGTGGAGGGACACACGGAAGGCATGTAGGTGCCACCTGCTGTGAGGCCAGCCAAGGAGTGAACTGCTGGGCCCTACCCTGGCTGCCATCAAGCATACTCAAGGTACTCAAGGCAGCAGGCAGTGGGAACACCTGAAGCAGGGCAGTGACCCCCCGGGGTGTGGCCTACCGGAGTACTGGATCCAGCTCACAGCAACCGGCTCCGGGGCCACAGCGACCTGCCTGCTGAGTCTGTGTGGCATACTGCTCTCCAGAGGGTAGTCCTCCCTTCGAGGAAGATCACAGGGAAGAAAGGCCAATGGGTCTTACCAAGAGGAGAAGTAAAAAGCAAGCTAGAAATGAAGTGGACTTCCCACTCACTACATGGGTAATTTAACTGCAGTAAACTTGAAATTCTACCACAATCTCATTCAAAATCATAGGGAATCACTTTACAATGTTCATTGTGATTGGGTATATCATGAAACACATACAGATAAAGACTTATCTGAAAAATGCACTAATGGACAATTTTCTCAATGCAAACAGAAGGGGACAGACCTCATACCCGGCTGAGTGACACACACACTCAGCGTACTGACCTCACACCTGGGCTGTGTGACGCACACATGTATGTACAGGCCTCATACCCGGGTTGAGTGACACATACACACAGTGTACAGACTTCACACCTGGGCTGTGTGAAACATGCATGTGGTGTAGCAGACCTATTAAACCGTAAAAATGTATCCTGTCTAACTGGATGTGAATACTATATTGATATTTGTGAAGGTCCATAGAAACTGAAAACACACTTTCCACTTCCCTCTTCTTTATGGACAGCTATTACAATACTATTCACTGGTGTTCTCCAAACAGTACACCTATCGTAAGTTGAAAAGTGGTTAGCAGTTCACAGCTAACCAAAGAGTCACCGTTGAGTGCAGTCAGGTCTGCTATAAACATGCTCAGAACATGCTTTAGCCTGAAACTAGATAAGCCTATGTTATCATAGCATATCTCATGCTGTCAACTGAATACCTGGGCCAAAACTCTGGCCACACCCTGTAGTTCTTTCAGGCAGAGGTTGTTTCTCTGGTGACAGTGGTACCCACTGGAGCCCCAGACCATGGCCACTGCCCAGCATTCAACAGAGGCCACAACACACCTTGTTAGCCAAGACAAGGACCAAAATTCACTTGTGGTAGCTAGAATGTACCTATAAGTCTGATAGTACACACACTGGGTGGCAAGCAAAGGGTTACAAATGAATTCTACTACAGGTATGATGTTTCTAAATCTTGGTAAAGTTGAAAACTCATAACTAAATTATCATTAAATCAACTGTATTCAAATAACCTGTACCCAGTTTATACTTACCATGAAAATAACTACAGTACATTCTGGGTTTGCAAACAAAATGAAGGCAGGCTAAGGGGAGAAGTGCTTGAAATTACAAGTATCACCAGAGAGGGACAGCAGGTGCTGGGAGGGAGGAAGCGGAGGCCGTCTGTCAGCAGAAGCCACCTGCTGCCAGGGCCAGACCAAGTCAGACTCCACTTGCTCACTCTGCAAACTCAGGGGTCTTTCAGGAAATGTTCTGTTGTCTGCTCTGTTAATTAAGAGTCCCACAAGTCCTGCCATCCAGGCTGCTAGAAAAATAGATACTGTTCACGTAAACAGTGTATTCAAGCTATGTTGTCAAAGTATGTTCCCATGATCTATTTTTACATCTGAACTGTTACATTAGTGTTAAAAATAAATAGGGGGTGACATTGATCACGATGTGCTGCATTCATAAACTATTTTGTTAAGTGGCAGCTCCTTTGTACAAATGCTTACAGGTATTTTTTAAAGAAAAACGTCTGGATGCCAGTGGCTCATACCTGTCATCCTAGCTCCTTAGGAGGCGGAGCTTGTTAGGATCACAGCTTGAGGCCAGTCCAGGCAGAAAAAGTTTAGGACATACCTTCTCAATAAATAACTAGACTCAGCAGAAATGTGAACCTATGATTCTAGCTGTTGGCAATCCTAACAATAGGTGAAAAACAGCCAAGAAAAAAAAAATTACCCTATCAGAAAAAAAATCTCCAGCAGACAATAGGGCTGAAGACATTGATCAGCAACTAGGATGATCCTGCCTAGCAAGGGTGAGAACAAGAGTTCAAACCCAAGCCCACCAAGAGTCCGGAGGGCTGGGCACAGCAGCTCACCTGTCCTCTCAGCCACTCGGGAGGTGAAGGTAAAAAGAGCAATGCCAGGTAAAATCCTGAGACCCTATCTCACAACACTAAAAACACAAAGGCTGGGGATGTCAGACCATTTGCCCAGTAAGTGCGAGGCCTTGAATTCAAACCTCCCATTGAAAAATAATGCCTTGAGTTGCATCAGAGTACAGGACTCTCACCAGGCTTGGATGCACTTTGCTGTAGGCAAAAGTAGGAAGCAGAAATGGAAGGAACAGCAAAAAGGCTTAAGGAAAGCATCAGTGAACATGGGAAAACAATACCCACCACATCAAAACACCATGGAAATCTATCCATCAGAAAGACTGACATTGTACTCCTATTCATACGGAATGGGAAGACTGGGGAAAAGGTTACATCAACTGAAGTGAGCCAGATCCAGAAAACAGGTTGCACAGATCCTCTCATCTCTGGTAGCTAGAATGACTGCATGGTAAGCAAGGGTTACAGATGAATTAACTGAATGAAGTATAATCAACTCTGTGGAGAGCACAAATAGTATAATTCTTTAAAAGACTAAGTCAAATTGAGCCAGTGGCTCACGCCTGTCATCCTAGCTACTCAGGAGGCTGAGATCTGAGGATCACAGTTCAAAGCCAGCTCAGGCAGGAAAGTCTGTGAGACTCTTATCTCCAATTAACCACTAGAAAACTGGAAATGGCGCTGAGGCTCAAGCAGTAGCGCGCTTGCCTTGAGCTGAAGAGCTGGGGGACAGTGCCCAGGCCCAGAGTTCAAGCCCCACAACCAGAAAAAAACAAAACAAAACAGACTAAGTCAAAGCTCAACAAAGTAAGTGCCAGAAAATGGATACTTGCAAGAGTGAAGGGTGGGGCCAACAGGAGAGGGTAGAAGAATGAAGGGGATGGAAGGAAAATACAGGCAAGAGTTGCGTACATCACAGAACTGAGAGGTAGAAGAGGAGGAGGGGCAAAGATGCTGGAATGGTGATCCAGGTGTATCGTGCACATACCAGCTTTGTTATATTGCAAAAATAGTCAATACATAACCTAAAATTCAGATAAAGGAAGGGGAGGTTGGAGACTGCTGACAGGGGTGACATTGATCAAGGCACACTGTATTCATAAAGGGATTCAGTGAATTTGGCAAGTCCTTCGTACACTACTTTAAAAAAAAGCATCCAGTTAAAAATTGGTAAATCTCTAAAAATGTTTCTCAAGAGAAGAAATATAACTGATCAACAAATAGACAGAAAATCCTCAGTATCACTAGGTGTATTAAAACTATAACGAGATACCATCTCACCCCAGTCAGAATGGTTTTCATCAAAAACTAAATGATAAATGCCAAAATGATGTGAGAGGGGGGGAAAAAGAGAGCGCTCCCTTCCCTTAAATATGATCAGTGTGATTACAAATTAGAAAAGAAAACAATAGAGAGGCTCCACCGAAAGCTAAAAAAATCAGCACTAGCAGCTGACCCTGCTAAACCACCTGCCAAGAGAGGACATCGCCACAGCAAAGAGCTGTGCACAACACGCATAGCTAGAATGGGAAACCCTTGCAGACAGCCATCACCAACGCATGAGCAAAGAACAGAATGTGTGAACATTCACAATGGAAACTCAGCCATAAAGAATGAGACTGTATCCTCCACAGTGAAAGTCTCACAGAGTCCGAGGTGGCCTCTGGGGCAGGGGCCTGCTGGCGGGGGTGGACTCCACAAGTCCTGGCCATCCCAGCAGCACCAGCACCACGCAAGGCCTCACCGCTGCTGCCCAAGAGGTGTGAATAACCACGCGTCGGTTATTTTAACAAAAATTAAGTATTTCAAAATTGTTGAAGTGGTAAAAATACCAGATGTGTGAAAAATTGTTAACATGAGGCCATCAAAGGGTATTTATGTAATTACTCATATCTGCGTAGTCTTACACCTGTATAAAAAAGTCCCTTGAAACATTTCAAGAGTCTGTGTTTGCTCGCACTGGGACTTGAACTCTAAGCCTTGCGCATGCTTGACTGGAGCTCCAGTGGGAGCCATGTCTCCAGCCTGGCTATTTTGGTGACAGTCTTTCAGACTTTTCTGCCACACCTGCCTTCTGTGCATAATACTTGGGATTTCAGGCATGCACCACCAGTGCCAGGCCTGTGAATCATTCAAAGTTATTTCAAACAGATAAATTAGGTTACATACCTTTTGTAATTGTTCTTGCATGCTGAAGACTTTCTGCCACCGTGCTTGATGTTAGTCTTTGGTGAAAACATGGTTACACTGTGGGAAGAAAACCCATGACACCCTCCAAGAATTCAGTCCACACATCTTCCAGGGCAAGAACACACCTTCATATCTGCACTGATGGCTCCAGCTATCCCCTGCTCCTCCCAGCCCCTCCCTGCTCCCAACTCACCTCCCACTGCACTGTTCCTCCGTTGTCCCATCTAAAATCCTGAGGCTCCAAAGCCCCAGGGAGGAACGTAGGGACAACATGGTCTGGCAGCTGCCTACACTCGCAATGTGCCTTACACAGCAAATCCTGGCAGTCCACCCTTCACAGGCTGGACACCAACAGCCAATGAGCCACCCTCC